TTCCCGGACCGGGGCACGAACCCGCGTCCCCTGCATCGGCAGGCGGACTCTCAACCACTGCGCCACCAGGGAAGCCCGGGAGTTAGGACTTTGTAACATATTTGGGGAGATATAATTCAACCCACAAGAGATGATAAGGGTCTTGTTCCTTCTTTTATGTGTTTTCTCTTTTAATCTTTAAATGTGCTCAGTTAAACTGGCAGATTTTATTACCTTAAACCAATATTGCATGCCAACTTATTCATATTGTGTTCATATATACACACACCACACACACACACACACACACACACACGTATTGCTTGACTCAGTGTGCTAACATTTAATACTTGTGCATGTTTATTTATAAGACTGATCTGTGATTTTCCTTTTTCCTATATCCTTATCTGGTTTGGGTATCAAAGTTATACTTTACACTGGCTTTTTATAAACTGAAGTAGGATACGTTCCTTGTTCTTTCTTATTCTCAGGAAAATGTATTGTGTAAAACTGGAATTATGCGATTGCCAAAGGTCTGGTAGAACTGTTAGGATATCCACCTGGACCTGGTGCTTATTTTATGGGACAGCGTCCATGAAATCAGAGTATAGCCCGAGGTCTTGCATTGTGTAGATGCCTCAGCTCTCCCAGGCTCGGCCAAGTGCTACGAAGAGAGGTAGGGCCTCTAGAAGGCTGTACGGCTGTTGTAACAGTTCTTCAAATAAAGAACACAGAAAAACATTTTGGAAGCTTATGGGTAATCTCAAAATCTGCTGCCCAGCTCTCTGTGTAGCAGCAAGAAGGGACTTATTGAACTGAGGTTTCCTAGGAAACCTGAAGGGACCTAGGAAGTTGCCAAAGCAACAGGTTCTTTTGACAGTGGCCTCAGGTGTAACTACGAGATACTGTGTACATCTGTAGAAGGAAACTAGTATTTTTACATTAACATTTTCAAAGACACTCAGATTCTGATTATCACTAGTGGTGGTGTGTATATTCTTAATTTGGTGGAAAGTAATCACTAATATTTAAATTCTGGCCCTTAGCACACATGTTGCTTTATACTGTTACTTGTGTAGTTTTCTATTATGTCCTTAATGAGATTGGGAGACTCTTGGGAAAGGCACAGTGTCTTGTAACGTTTTTTGCACACATACAGGTGCTTGTTGCATATGTAATGTTATCTTTTTTTATTGTCCATGAATGTATTAATATTTTTCCCTTTTTTCCTCTAGGTATATATTTTACAATTTTGAGAAAACTGAAATATTGATCTTTTAAATTACAGCCATGCTTTTAAGGTGCAGTTCTAAGAAAAAGTTAGTTTAAATATCAGATCAGTTTGCGATCACACGATAAAGTATGAATTGTACACTCTAGAGAAATTTTTTTTTTTTTTTTTGGGTACGCGGGCCTCTCACCGCTGCAGCCCCTCCCATTGCGGAGCACAGGCTCCAGACACACAGGCCCAGCGGCCACGGCTCATGGGCCCAGCCGCTCCGCGGCACGTGGGATCCTCCCGGACCGGGGCACGAACCCGCGCCCCCTGCATCGGCAGGCAGACTCTCAACCGTTGCGCCACCAGGGAAGCCCTAGAGAAATTTTTAATCTTATTACCATGTTAAAACCTCTCTGAATTCAGACCCCAGTATGGTGGACTTAATATAGGGAGGTACAGCCTAAAGTTTATCTTTCTGTGATTCATTATTTTATCCAAGTAAATTTATCATGTGACTAGATCATGGAGGAAATTTTCCTGCTGCTTAAAGGAATAAATCATTTTTAATTATCAGAATGTTTAGTGTTGGCTTTCATTTACCTCCATGTAATTCTGTTTTAGCAACTTTGGAGTTTATAATACACTATTGTTGACCTTTGTGCTGTGAATTGGCTCTCCAGGACTTATCTAGCACTAGATACACACTTGCACCCTTAAACAAAATCTCCCCAACATGCCCCCAGCACCTGGGAACCACCATTCTACTCTCTGTTTTCAGGAGTTCAGCTTTTTTAGACTCCACATATAAGTGAGATCAGTCAGTGTTTGTCTTTCTCTGCCGTATCTCACTTAGCATAACGCCTTGAAGGTCCACGCATGCTGTTGTAAGTGGCAGTATTGCATTTTTCTCAGGGCTAAAGAATACTCCCTTGTATAGACGTATATATATGTGTGTGTGCGTGTATGTGTGTCCATATATCTCACATCTTCTTTATCCATTCATCCATTGACAGACACTTAGGTGGTTTCCATATCTTGGGTATTGTGAATAGTGCTGCAGTAAACATGGGAGTGCAGAGATCTCTTCGAACTTCGTTTTTCATTTCCTTTGGATATATACCAAGAAATGGAATTGCTGGATCATATGGCATTTCTATTGTTAATTTTTTGCGGAGCCTCCACAGTGTTTTCCATAGGGGCTACACCAGTTTTCCACCGACAGTGTACAAGTGTTCTCTTATCTCCACATCTTCATCAATACTTGTTGTCTTCTTGATCATAGCCATTCTAACACATGTGAGGTGATGTCTCATGGGGGTTCTGATTTGCATTACCCTGATGATTAGTGTTGTTGAGCACCTTTTAGTGTACCTGTTGGCCATTTGGATGTCTTCTTTGAAAAAAATGTCTATTTAGTTCCTCTGCACATTTTTTATTGGATTGTTTGGTTGTTATTGTTATTGATTTGTATGAGTTCTTTATGTATTTTGGGTATTAATCCCTTATCTGATATCTGGTTTGCAAATATTTTCTCCCATTCTGTAGGTTGCCTTTTCATTTTGCTGATTATTTCTTTTGCTGTGCAGAAGCTTTTTAGTTTGATATAGCCCCACTTGTTGACTTTTGCTTGTGTCGCTTGTGCTTTTGGTGTCATATTCAAAAAATTACTGCAAGTCCAAAGTCAAGGAGCTTCTTCCCTATGTTTTGTTTCAGTTTTACGGTATCAGGTCTTATGTTTAAATCTTTAATCCATTTTGATTTAATTTTTGTGAGTGATGTGAGATGGGGTCCAATTTCATTTTTCTGCACGTGGTTATCCAGTTTTTCCAGCACCACTTGTTGAAGAAACTGTCCTTTCCGCATTGAGTATTCTTGGGTCCCTTGTTAAATATTAGGTGATTGTATAAGTGGAGGATTATTTCTGGGCTCTCTATTCTGTTTCATTGATCTGTGTGCCTATTTTTATGCCAGTGCCATACTGTTTAAATTACTATAGCTTTGTAGTATAGCTTGAAACCAGGAAGTTTGATGCCTCCAGTTGTGTTCTTCTTTTTCATGATTGCTTTGGCTATTTGGGTCTTTTGTGATTCCATACACATTTTAGGATTATTTTTTTCTATTTCTGTAAAAAATGCCACTGGCATTTTGATAGGGATTGTATTGGATCTATAGATGGTTTGGGGTAGTAAGTACCTTTTAACAATGTTAATTCTTCTAATCCATGAACATATTCAATAGGTATCCTTCCATGTGTGTCCTCTTCAGTTTCTTTCATGAGCATCTTGTAGCTTTCATCGTACAGGTCTTTCACTTCCAGCCTTTGCTGGAACGCATCAAAGAATTAGGGGTTTGGTCTCTTACGAGGCAACGCTTTTGGATACGGGAAGTGAGAAGTCCAGCCAGCCTCCCTCTGACTTCATCAGGCCCTGCAGTTCTCTTTAGAGCTGCATAATCCCCCTCTCCTGCTTGAGGCTGTCAGGGACTACTGGGCGTGAGTCTGCTTTCTGGCCAGCGGAGACATCAGGGAAAAGCCATCTTGCTCATTCCTGCCGCCTCTAACTTTGTGGAGTGTGAAACCAGAGTCCTTTCCGGAGGAAGAATTAGAAAGCCCAGGGTTAGACTGTGGGGCAGCCTGTCCTCTGGTGGAAGTAATCCATTAACTGGCCTGTCAGTAACCTCACAAACCCACTAAGTACCTCAACTCAGCACCCGCAAGACTTGGAGATTTGCAGCACATCTTTTATTCTTTTTGGCCACACCGTGCAGCATGTGGGGTCTTAGTTCCCCAACCAGGGATCGAACCCACGTCCCCTGCAGTGGAAGCACGGAGTCTTAACCACTGGACCGCCAGGGATGTCCCGAGGCACGTCTCTACTGCTCCAGCAAACAAGTTTCCTCTGGGAGCCAAATGTGGTGCTGGGGCAATGTGCGTACCTCAGTGGGAAAAATGCAAGGGAATTTGGGGTGTGATCCCTGCCTCTGTGTCTCCTGCGAGATCTGAGGGGCAGGAATTAACCACACAATGTAGGTTGCTCTCTGCCATTCACTTAGACACCGAGTCTAGTGGCTGGTGAGGCTCAGGGGAACATCAATGAGGATCACTTTTGCTTTTTCTGAAGGGTTTTTGTTGCGTTGTCTGTGTGAACAGGTGTGTTTCCCAGGAACAGTGTAAGGAGACTCCCTATAAGTCTCAGCTCTCTTGAGAATGGGCAGGGTGGCACTTCATTAGAGGCACGCGCGTGCTCTCCTGCCGGGGTCTCTGCTGGCCTGGCGAGAGGAGAACAAGTGGGAAATCTTTTCTTTCTTTTGTTTTTTTTTTTTTTTTTTTGCACTTCTAAATGGCATTTTAAAGGTACTGATCTAGCAATACTGCTGGACTTTTTGTCAAAA